ATTTGCAAGAAAAACTCGATGAACGCTTTGAACCTTTTGCTCTTTTCTCCTCTTTTCTCCTTTTGAACTCTCTTCTAAAACCCTAAGTGTATATTAGGATTTTTAAACTGAATCAAATCAGTTTAGGCTCCTAAAACCTTACTCAAAATGAATTAATTTACTAAGCAAAAGTGTGGTAGGTTTGTCTTTTTCCTGTCATGTTCATTTTTATAACATATACAACACTTGAGTTGTATTAAATCCTGTTTTATTTCATTTCCATCTTGTTTGGATGATTATTAATTATCATCACTGTAAAATGCATCGTAATCGTATTGTATTTGTATTGTATTGTGGTCATAATAAAGTTTGAATAAATTGTATCTTTGTTAGGGTTATATAAATTTTTTATTATTTAGTTGTATTCATGTATTGTACCGTATGATAATTATTTAATTTACTAAAACTCCCATCGTTGTTGTAAATATTAGATTATGTAATAGGATACAATCAAACTAAACAACAATTACAAAAAAAGTCAACTAGATGCACTGATTATGACTCGTCAACATTTTAAGTTATTAATTCATACCACTCCTAATGAAATTAATCATAAAACTAAATTCGTTCACTAACGATGATATTTTTGAAGAATGAAAAAGTCTCACAATGATGGTTTGGACAATCCTATTCTTTTGGGCTCGCTTTAGGGGTGTGACTTATGCCCAAAGCCTAATTTTACATGATATAAAAGAAGGACCTATCTCAGCCAATATTGTATTTCCAAATTAAATTATCCATGCTTCAGATGTTCAATGTTTTTTTTCATTAAATTGTTTCCAATGATCATTGATATGAAAAAGTTACATCTTGGAGATTGGCAAACAAATCTTAATACATTATCATACGGTAAAGGTAAAGTTAGATAAACTCAAAAATAGTAACACAAAAAAAAAGGAGGGAGTCTAAGCTAGCTATGTAATGACTCGGAAGGTCCCTTTTGTTTTTTTTTTATAAAATTATCATTTTACCCCTCATAATATTGACCTCTAGTCCTTTTTGATTGATTTAAAAATTCGTTTCGAGTTTTGAGTGAAAAGTTATTAATTATGAAAATTATGGAAGTTTGGAAGGATAAAGTTTGTTAAAAAGTGGTTTTCGGTGTCTTTTGGAGTTTCAAAGTAAGAATGGAAATTCC